TGAATTCAGGGCCAGTGTGGTCTACAAAGCCAGTCCAGGGCAGCCAAGACTAGAGAGAAACCCTGTCTCAAAAAAAAGTAATAATAATAATGACAGTAATAAACATCTGACTACTAAATCAAGTTTTGAATTACTCAGTTTTTGTACTGAAATACTTTATCCATAAAAACTACAAAAGTTATCTTAAGGTGGAATTAACACTTAAAGAAGCTCTATTGTCTGGAGTGGACTGAGAAAAACACTTTATAGCCATTTTTCTTTAATCACAACAGCAATGAGGGGTAGATGATGTTCCTTTTTTTTTTTTTTTTTAAATCAGGATTTCCCTGACTAAAGATTTGCTTATGCCTCAAACACCAAACTTTTCCTGTACTGTGGCTCCCATTCGCCCCACTCCTCATCTCCTCAGCCATTCTTCAATCACAGCCTCAGGTTTCCACTCTCCCCTCTCCATCATGCCATTCTTTAAGAAATCAGCTGACTGTGGTGGTGCATGCCTTTAATCCCAGTACTGAGGAAGCAGAGGCTGGCAAATCTTGGGGAGTTTGAGGCCAGGTTGGTCCAGGACAGCCAGGAATACAAAAGAAATGTGTCTCAAAAAACCAAAGTAGGGGGAAAAGAAATCAGTCTGAGTAGACTTTAATCCCAGCCCTTGGGAGACAAAGGCTAGCAAGTCTCTGGCTCAAAGCCAGCCCAGCCAGGGGCACACAGTAAGACCTTGGCTCAAAACAAAAACAAAAACAGCCTGGCATTGTGACACACACCTTTAATCCCAGCACTCTGGAGGCAGAGGCCAGCAGATCTGTTAGTTTAAGGCCAGCCTGGTCTACAAATCGAGTCCAAGGGCATGTTACACAGAGAAACCCTGTCTTGAAGACAAACAAAAAGAAAATCACGCTGAAAGAAATGTGGGGTCTGGCTCAGTAGTAGAATATTTATCTACTAGGTCTACATGACAGGACTTAATTACCAGCACCACCACACACAAGAAAGTAGTGTGATTTTTTTTTAAATAATTTATTCAATTTTTATGTCATGTGCATTAGTGTGAAGGTGTCAGATCCCTTGGAATTTGTGTTACAGACAGTTGTAAGCTGCCATGTGGGTGCTGGGAATTGAACCTGGGTCCTTTGGAAGAGCAGACAGTGCTCTTAACCACTGAGCCATCTCTCCAGCCCAGTAGTGTGATTTTCGTTGTTTTTTTTTTTCCTTTTTTATTTTTTTTATTCACTTTACATTGTGATTGTAGCCCCATGGTAGTGTGATGTTTTAAGAAAGGAGAAAGAAGGTAATCTCGCTGAAGTGAAATCCAGAAGGTGGCAAAGATGGGTGAGCTTTAAATAAACTATCAATGATGACTAACTTTAATATATTTATTTAGTCAGGCTTACCCAATTAATTCATCTCATTATATTTTAGTAATTCAACAAATATTTGCTTATTGCTCATCTAATAGAAATACTTTCTTTTAGATATTTAGAAAGACATAGTAAGCAAAGCAATCCTTCGCTCAAGGAGTTTTAGTATAACATGGGAAACTAAGGCACAGTGAGCACAGTGCTCTCATCTTGGAGCAGGATGAGACAGTAGCAGCAGTGCTACACAGAAGAGAGATGGCAGCAGTCCTCAACCTGGGAGCCACCACCCTCTGAGGGTCCACTGACCCTTTCACATGGGTCATCTAAGACCAGCTGAAACCACAGATATTTACATTACGATCCATAGCCATAGCAAAACTACATTTATGAAGTAGCATCAATAATTTTATGGTTGGAGGTCACCACAACACGAGAGACTGTATTAAAGATTTGCAGCATTAGGAAGGTTAAGAACCACAGTTGTGTGAGTATCTGATTCTAGACAGAAAAGCTTCAGCCTTGGACTGTCCCAAGAACAGTAAGGAAATGCCTGGCACGACCAGTACAGGGAGCATGAGAGACGGGATACACACAAAGAGAAAAAGGGGAGCAGGTCATGGAAGGATAGTGACATCACTTTTACCACCAATTCAATTTTATGGAGGAGGTGACAGAGGCACAAGAAGTAATTTACCCAAAGCTACACAATAAAACGCTAGAAGAGTATAAGTTCAAAGAGTCATTCCTATAAAGTGCCTTTAAAATATCACCTAAAAGTTTGACATGCCTCCTGTTTAAGGTTCACACTCCTCCCTCTTGAAATCTGAGTGGGTTCCTGGCTGCTTTTGGCAAGCTACATTGGCAGAAGCAACATTGACTTCTGAGACTGTTATAAAAGGCTAGCTGAAACACTGAGCCACCAATGGAAGGAACACAGTAACACAATCAAAGTGTGACCACACAAAGGCCTACTGTATACCTGTTCTTGCCAAGGGTCCCAGATGGGCACCCAACCTTCTAACCATACCTGTCAAAATGCTGGCATATGAGTTAAGTCTAGAATGTTGGCCTTTCACCCTAGTTGGTCAAACCCAGCCTTCAAGAGCCCATGCACAGCCTCAGGCATAGCAGAGCTAAGCCATCTGTTAGAATTTTCTCCACACTCTGAGCATAACAAAACACTTCTTGGAGCTGGAGAGATAGCTCAGTGGTTACAAGCACTGAATATTCTTCCAAGTTCAATTCCCAGCACCCACATATCTCACACCTGTCTGTTACTCTAGTTCCTGGGGATCTAACACCCTCCTTCAGGCCTCTAGACACATACAGGCAAAATGCCTGTGCGTGCACACACACACACACACACACACACACACACACACACACACACACAAATAATAAATTTTTGTTTTATACTATTAACTTGGGAAATTGTGAAAACAACTATATCAGCAGTGAAAAATAATTGTTAAGAATATGAACTGGACTGGAGAAATGGCTCAGAGGCTAAGAGTACTGGCGGCTCCTCCAGAGGTCCTGAGTTCAATTCCCAGCAACCACATGGTGACCACAACCATCTATAATGAGATCTGGTGCCCTTTCTGGCATGCAGGTGTACATGCAGACAGAACATTGTATATATAATAAATAAATAAATCTTAAAAAATATGAAGTAGAGCCAGGCACCCAGTGGTGCACACACAGCACTCAGGGAGGCAGAGGCAGGCCGATCTGAGTTTGAAGCCAGTCTGGTATACAGAGCCAAGACTGCAGAAAAACCCTGTCTCCAAAAAAAATAAAAAAAATTACTAGGGCCTGCCAGCAGGGGTGGCACACACCTGATCTCAGCACTTGGGAGGCAGAGGAGGACAGATCTGAGTTCCAGAATAGCCAAGACTACACAAAGAAACCCTGTCTCAAAAACCAAAACAAAAAAGCCAAACAAAGGAAAAAGCAAACAAACAAAAACAAACAAATGACCTAGAATTTTTAAAGGGGGGGGGGAGGGGGGAAGAAACTGGAATACATTACCATAATATGTAAGAGATGCTTTATCATTGAATATCTTCAATGTCTAGAAGACAACCTTCTGATGATTTAAGAGAAAAATAAACTCCTACAACTATTCTCCCAGTAAAGCTATAAATAACACAACAGGCCTACGCTAGATAAGGGCTGGATAAGAGAAGGAAAGAGCTGGAAACAAAATGTGAAAAGAACATCAAACAGCCTCAAAGGTCTCCCACAACAAAAAACACTTGCCCAGTTTGAATGACTCTTCTGGGCAAGTCTTAAGAGTAGTAGGTAAAATGAGGAATGGTTCTAGGTCTATTCCTTTACAGGATTCTCATTCTAGAATATAAAAAGTACTGTCATAAAGTACTGACTATATATGAAATGGGTTATACAGAATCCTGGGATCAAAATATTTAAGCTAACTTATACAAATTTTGTATTAAATGCTACCAATACAATTTTCATGTAAAATTTAACACAAACCCCACAATAGTTAGGGTCCACCCAGAAGCAATTATTTAGAAATACACTATTAACTATTAACAAGAAATACAGACAAAATACCTCCTGGTTTGAGCCTCAAGATTAACCATGGGTGACAGTTTAGGTCATTAGAAAGTAGTGGTAAAGAATCCTAGTTTGGGAGCTTCACTCTGAACACCAATCCCAGCAGAGGCAGGCAGTTCTCTGTGAGTTCAAGGAGAGCCTGGTCTATAGAAGTAGCTCCAGGATAGCCAAGGCTACACAGAGAAACCCTGTTAAAAAACAAAAAAGAATCCTAGGCTGGCTGGGTGTGGTGATGCACACTTTTTTTTTTTTTTTTTAAGATTTATTTTTTATGTATACAATGGTCTGTCTGCATGTACACCCACATGCCAGAAGAGGGCACCAGATCTCTTTATAGATGGTTGTGAGCTCCCATGTGGGTGTTGGGAATTAAACTCAGGACCTCTGGAAGAGCAGCCATGGCTCTTAACCACTGAGCCATCTCTTCAGCCCAGTAATGTTCACCTTTAATCCTAGCACTTGGGAAACATAAGTAGACTTTTTCTTGAGTTTGAGGCTAGCCTGATCTACAGAGCCAGTACCAAGACAGCCAGGGCTACCAAGAAAATCCTATCTCAACAACAAAACGAAACAAAAGAATCCTTATTGGAGTGATACTTTTGTGCAGTGTGTAAAAAATATTGTATATTGCTGACTTCTGTACCCTCAGAAATCTAATTGTAGGCCAGACTTTGATCGTTATTCTTTGGCTCCATCATATTTTGTGAACACAAGCTTCTCTCACCTTCTGATTGGTTAAAGAACTGAAACAGCCAACAGCTGAGGCAAGAGAGGGAGGCAGGACTTCTAACAGAGAGGGAGGGACTCTGGGAGGAAATCTCAGGTACAGCAGGCACCAGCCAGACACAGAGGAAGAAGCAAGAGCCAGGACTAGAGACTATGACGGACAGGTAACGGATATAGGCCAGGCCAGTATAGTTGGGTTGAAATAGCTGAGAATCTGCCCAGCTATAGTGCTACACGCTTTTAATAAATATAAAAGGTCTCTGTCATTATTCCATCCGCTGGCAGTCGCAAACTTCTGTTATAAATCCAGATTTTGTTACTATAATAAAATACCTGAGATAGGGGCTGGAGAGATGACTCAGTGGGTAAGAACACTGGCTGTTCTTCCAAAGGTCCTGAGTTCAATTCCCAGAAACCACATGGTGGCTCACAGCCATCTGCAGTGACATCTGGTGCCCTCTTCTGGTTCACAGGCACACATGCAGGCAGAATGCTGTATAAATAATAAATAATTTTTTAAAAAACTGAAATAATTAACTCAAGAGGAAAAGTTATTTAGCTCACAGTTATGGATATTCAAGAGGCAATGGTATAGCTGACTGGGTAAAACTGTTCACCTCATGAGCCAGGAAAAGAGAGATTCAGGAAAAGGAATGTCCCCAATGATATAAGGACTTGTAATACTAACACAATGGGGACTGAGAGCTGAACAGACAGGCCGGTGGGTAACATTCAATAAGCAGGCCCAACAGTCCATTTTTCCTGTTTCACCGGGAGACCTGCTGAGTGAACGCCTGCTCTCCCTCCTCCTCTCCCCCCTCCTGAAGGAGGGTGCATATGGGGCAGTAGGTCAGATATAAACATGGTTTTGGTCAGCACATCAGCTCCAAAAGAGAACACACACATAGATAGAATAGACAGTGTCTTACGATGAGGCCCCGGCTGGCCTCAAACTCACAGCCTAGGTTGTTCCTAAATATGGAACAAACGTCTGCTCTAAGTGTATTCTCTTTATTTATTATTTAAGATTTATTTTATGTGTATGGATGCTCTGCCTGCATGTATGCATGTGTACCACGTGTGCCTGGTGCCCTTGGGAGGCCAAAAGAGGGCATCAGAGTCCCTAAATGGAGGTACAGACAGTTGTGACCCACAATGTGGGTGCTGGGAACTAAACCCAAGTCCTCTGCAGGAGCAACAAGGAGCAAGCCTTTAACCACTGAGCCGTCTACTCCAAGTGTATGCTTTAATTCTGTCAAATGGACGTGAAAGCATTCCAGGTAGAGTTTTTCAAATTTCATTTGAAACTGCAAAACAGATGTGATAAAACTTAGAAGGGTCTGTACTTCCTGGCTCTTCTAACCTAGGGATAAACTCTAGGGCTAAAATTTGGTTATATTTTAAAATGATAAAATTTAGAACTTTTTAAATATTTATATATGAGTGTTTTGCCTCACTGTATGTATGCTCACCACCTGTATGCCTGCTGCCTAAGGAAGTCAGAAAAGAGCATCAAATGTCCTAGAACTAGAGCTATGAATGGTTGCAAGCCACCATGTGAACTCCAGGAATGGAACCCAGGTCCTCTGGAAAAAGCAACCAGTATTGTTTGTTTTTTATAGCTTTCTTTTTTTAAATTTTTATTTATTATTTACAACTTTCTGCCTGCATGTGTGCCTGGGCACCAGAAGAGGGCACCAGATCTTACTATAGATGGTTGTGAGCCACTATGCAGTTGCTGGGAATTGAACTCAGGACCTTTGGAAAGAAGAGCCAGTGCTCCTAGAGATGGCTCTAAGCCATCTCTCCAGGATGCAGCTAGTGCTCTTAATCACTGAGCCAATCCTCCAGCTTTGTGTGAGAGACATGCAGGCAGGCAGACAGACAGACAAGGTCTTAGTACACAGCCAGGTTGGCCCTGACCCCACCCACCCTGGATCCTCTGCCTCTCAAGTGCTGGGATTACCCACCATAGCTTGTTTACCAATACAACAATCCTTTTTTAAATAAAGTAACAAGTAAAATCAATTCATAGCAAACTGAATACAAGTCTCTAAGGCAGTGGATCTCAGCCCTCCTAATGCTATGACCCTTTAAAACAGTTCCTCATGTTGTGGTGACCTCAACCATAGAACTATTCTTGTTGCTATTTTGTAATTTTGCTACTGTTATGAATCGTAATGTAAATATTTTTGGAGATAAAGGTTTGACAAAGGAGTCGTGACCCACAGGTTGAGAACTTCCGATTTAAGAGCACCAGCTGCTCTTCCAGAGGACCCAGGCTTGAATCCCAGAACTCACATGGCACTTCACAATCTCTAACCACTCCAAAGGCTCCAACAACCTCTACTAGAACACAAGTGACACAAGTAGTACAGACATACAGGCAGGCAAAGCAACTATACAAATCAAATACTAAAATAAGAAGCTTATAAAAGAGAAAAAGTAATCTTGGGCGAGAGAGAATGCTGACCAACCTCCTTGCTGACAACCTGAGTTTAATCACCAGGACCCATGTTGTGGTAGAAGGTAAAGGTTGACGTCCATGATTTTGCACATACAAAATATTTTTATTAATTACAGTTTATTCTTTTATTTTATTTTTATTAATTACAGTTTATTCACTTTGTATCCCAGCTGTACCCTCATCCCCCATCCCCCCCACTCTCCCTCGCTCTTCTTCTCCTATGCCCCTCAAAATAATTTTTTTAAGTAAATGAGTAAACATCATCTTAAAAAATTTTAACCCTGAGGCAAGATGTCACTACATTGCCCAAGCTGGCCTCAAATTGACTAGCCATCATACAATCAGGCTCCCCAGATGATGGAACTGCAAGCATGTACCATCATGCCCAGCTCATATTTTAAAAGTTAATTATTTTACTTTATGTGTAAGGGCGTTTTGCCTGCATATATGTGTGTGAACCACATATACACCTGGTGCTCAAGGAACCCAGAAAAGAGTGTTGAGTGGCCTGGAACTGGAGTTATAGCTAGTTTTAAGACATCATATAGGTGTCAGGAATTGAGCCTGGGCCCTCTGGAAGTCCAGCCAGTGCTCTTACCTACTGAGGCATGTCTCCAGCCCTGCCTGTTACATATTTAAATAAGATACTATAAACTACTTTGTGCCTTTGCCTGAATGTAGTGAGTAAGAACAAGCAGTAACTCTTCCTATGCTCCATGGCCACACCTTCTTTTAAAGTCCTTTACTGTAAAAGAAAACTCACAGAGCATTTGAGGCCAGCTGATTTAAATAGGTAGTTCCAAGCAAGCAAGACTACTTGATGGGACCCTGTCTCAAAAACAAAACAACTCAAAGAAAACCCCATTATATCTAGTAAAAAAAAAAAAAAAAAAAAAAATCTCTTCTAGAAACCTGGACAACCTACAAGGTAGCCTAGTTAGCAAGCTGCACACTGATTTCTGAAGTGTGGCCCCTGGGTGTGCTGTATCATTGTCTTGGAGCCTGTTGGGAATGTAGCCTGGTTGATGGTGAGAACTGGAGATGAGCACTTCAGCAACAGCAACCCTCTATGTGTGTTTGCTCAGGTTCGACAGCACAGACTAGTTCTACAAAGCCCTGAGTCCTTTGTTCTGCTGGACCAGCAAGTCCTAAAGAACGAGAACAATCTGGTTGTCAGGCGTACAATACACCCTCTGCAGTACAGCTTTATAGTCAGTAAGCATTCCAATTTGTTCAACAGGTTAACTCAGTATCACCCAATCAACAGCTGACCAGACAATTACCACCATTAGCTTATTTCACAGACGTCAACAGTTCTGACCCCTCTGTACTAACTTCTAAATACCTGACATAGCTATATGATAAAAAGTGTGCAGGGCATTTGTGAGGCAGAGGCAGTAAGATCTCTGTGAGTTCTAGGCCAGCTGGTCTAGCCCAGAGAGGAATGGTTCCCAACCTTCCAAACACTGTGGCCTTTAATACAGTTTCTCATGTTTTAGTGACCCCAACCATAAAATTATTTGTGTTGCTACTTCACAATTGTGGTTTTGCTACTATTACGATGGTAATGTAAATACTTATGGAGACAAAGGCTTGCCAAAGGGGCCATGAGCCACAGGCTGGGAACTTATGCCATAGGAAAATAAATAAGATGGCAAGGAAATGATGTACATGCCTAGAGATGTTAACTAGTAAACCTCTGCCTCTAGTCCTCTAGCAAATAGTCTAGGTTTACAGTGTGTCAAATGCAAGTCAACTACAGAACATAAAATTAAAGGTAAATTTTATCTTTAAAAAGCCTCCTACTTTGGGGCTAGAGGGATTAAGACGGCTGAGTTCCCAGCACACACTAGGTCTCAAAACCACCTGAAATTCCAGTTCCAGAAGGCTGGACACACTGTCTTCTAGCCGCAGACAGTTAACTAGTTTTTCTGAGCTATGATGAACTTCTATTGTCCATAAAGGCAAATAGTAACATGCAAAAATCAAACACAGGAGAACAGCATAGTAGAGAAAGGGAAACTATTACTGTTGCAAATTATGTTTCTTTATACTTACACTGCAGATAAAAGGCAAAGCCTTTTTTGAAACAGGGTTTCTCTGTGTAAACCTAGCTGTCTGGACTAGCTCTGTAGACCAGGCTGGCCTTGAACTCACAGCCATACCCCTGCCTCTGCCTCTCAAGTGCTGGGATTACAGATGTGTGCCACTGTGCCCGGATGAGCCACAGCTTCTTAAAAGCTAGGATGCAGTGATCCACAAATTTAATATCAACACTTGGGATGCAGGGCCAGGTGGATCTCTGTGAGTTGAAGCCAGCTTGGTCTACAGAGGCAGTTTCAGGCCAGCCAATTGTATAAAAATGAAACCCTGTCTCAAAAGAATCCTCCCCTGACCCCACACAAACAAAAATAGGCTAGGCAACACTAGCTACACTCTCCATCCAATTCCTTATATTTGATTTAATAAACAATATTCTTCTTTTTGTTTGTTCGGTTGTTTGTTTATTTTTAAAGAGGGTTTCTCTGTGTAGCCCTGACTGTCCTGGACTCGATTTGTAGACCAGGCTAGCCTCGAACAGAGATTCATCTGCATCTGCCTCTGCCTCCCTGAGTAATGAGATTTCAGGCGTGAGCAACCACACCTGGCTATGAATAATGTTCTTAACACAAATAAGTAAACGTAATCATTTAAACTTTAAAACACCTAGGATAAATAAAATGTCTTTTTCACACAGACACACAGCAGAGCTGCTCTAGTCATAATAGTCAATAATCACCAACTGGTGAAAAATGTTTTCAAAGTCATGGAACACCTGATGAAATACTAAGTAGCAATAACAAGAAATGGACTATGAATGTACTGGAAACATAGAATCTCAAAAGCATTATGCACCCGGAAGTAGTGGCAGACCTGTAACCCCAGCACTCAGAAGCAGAGGCAGGCAGATCTTTTAAGTTTGAGGTCAGCCTGGTCTACAGAGTGAGTCCCACGGTAGCCAGGGCCACACAGAGAAACCCTTGTCTAAAAAATAAAACAAAAGCATTATGTATAGCCAGGGATACTTAAGTCAACCCAGTCTCAAAAAAGAAAAGAAAGAGGGCAAGCAAAGCGTTATGTCACATGGAGAAAGGCAGGCACAGCCGACACAGTCACCCATACCAGTGATCACAGCAGTAAGGAGGCTAAAGCAGAAGGATGACTTGGAGTGTTGATGTTTTCTCCACAACTCAGACTAACAAAAGATCTTCTCAACAAGCAGAGATCTCTCATTCATTGCTATTCCTTCCCACAACCGTCAAAAAGCTAATTACACAGTAATGACTGTAAGGGTAGGCTATGCTTAAAGTGAACATGAGGTGTGACACGACATGGGACCCGCACTGTCGCAGCTATTTCCATATCAAGCATATTCAAAAACTACAAGCGGAACATGACAAGATGAATTAGCCCAACCACTCGGATGTGCCATAGACCTCTTGATCTTAGCAATGTCGAAATCTCCGATACATTAAATAACAGAAGAAGGTATCCAAGCAGGGCGTGGTGACACAGGCCTTTAATCTCAGCACTCAGAAGGCAGAAGCAGGCAGATCTCTGTGAGTTTTAGGCTAGCCTAGTCTACATTGAGTTCCAGGACAGTCAGGGCTACACAGAGATGCCCTCTCTGGGGAAAAAAAGAACAACATGTGAAGAATTGTGAAGAGCGAGCCACTTCAGTCTATAATGATCACAAATACCACCTAAACCATACAATCCAAACTAAAAATAGATTTGTTCTCCTTGAGTTCTTCCACTCCCATTGAAATATACTTATTAAAGCCAACCATGGTGGAGCATGCCTTTAATCCCAGTACTTGGAAGGCAGAAGCAGGCAGATCACTGGTCTACACAGTGAATTACAGGATAATCAGATCTACACAGTAGAAGATAGATAGATAGATAGATAGATAGATAGACAGACAGACAGACAGACAGACAGACAGACAGACGGGTGGATGGATGGGTGGATGGATGGATGGATAGATGGTTGGTTGATAGATTAGACAGGTAGGTACACAAGTAGGTAAGTGGTATACATACTGAAACAAGACTCAAATGCAATCTTTCATCATAAATCTTTTGTTTCTTATTTCCATTTAGAAAACCCATGTTCTGGTTCTACTTACAGTTTTGGCTTTGATCACTGATTTTTTTTTTTAATTCAATCAATTTATTTGCCTCATCTTTTTAGAGTGGCCAAAGAATATGATGATCAGTCAGGTCAAAGAAGTTTCTTCAAAAGAACATAAAGGTCTCAAGATATGTCATTCCCAGCTATGGGGAGAATGAGACAGAAGGCTCCTTTGAGCCAGCCCAAGCAACACTGCAAGAACTACGAAACGAAAAAAAGGACAGATCTGGGGGGAAGGGCAGGACAGACAGACGGACAAAAGGTGAGGAAGGAAGAGGAAGAAAAGACAAAAGGTCTAATCTAAGCCCTCCTAATTAGGTGGTTTTCTAATCTATCTCAGGTGGGAAAACATATACAATGGTATATTTAATATACTACAGAGATGACTTGTACCAAGGTCTACGATCTACATAAAGATTAAATTACCCAATAGCTATCAAGCACAAGTGGCATTTTTAAGATTAAAATAAAGGCATTTGATACCACTAGGTCACCATGCTTTTCAAAGCATGAAAACACCCGAAGCATAGAAGCTTTTCCAAAAAGATGGCATTTTCTTGCCAGCAGTTACCTCATGGCTCCGTATAATGAAAGGCCAGTGAGTTTCTTTACAAGTTATTTGCTAAACGCTTTACAGAGGACAAAAGCTAGGCTAGAACACTTTGGAATCCGATGCGGGAGAAGGGTTCCAGAAACACTTGGGCAGGTCGAGCATTTCTTCAGTGAAACTTGCACTACACGTTTGTCACTCCCTAGCAATGCTCTTCCAGGCTGTTGTTTGGTTTGGTTTGTTTGTGAAGGTCCTTTCGAACAAAATCCTTTTATATAGATTTGCTGGGTGTGCACACTGGAACGGGCCTGGGAGTTCCCCTAAGCCAACCCACTGGGTTTCCCTCAGCTGGGCAGCAGGACAGAGCAGAGCATGGCATCTGCTTCTCGAAACGCTTAGCCCGCTGCTTCCGAATAGACTCAGCTTTGCAAGACGGGAAACTACTCCTTGATAAAGGCCGCCGCTCTGGAGCACAGCTACACTTCTAGGTTCGGGAACTACGGGGGCCCACAAGGACCTCTCCGTGGGGCACTTAGTTTTGCGGTTGTCATTAAACTTGGTCCCATTTTAGAGGACGGTCCACTCGACCCGACTGGATCTTATGAATCTGCACCAAGGACAGGCAGGCTGTTAACCTTCCTGGCGTAAAAGGAGAGTTGTGTTCAAACACGCACTGGCAGCAGCAGCGCCCGGACGGGTAATGCTCAGCAGACCGTAAGGACAGCGCGCGGGCCGCACGCCCAGGCCGGGACAGGGCTGCGCCTTGACCCCTGCCCGGAGCATCTGGGCCGGGTCCCCCGGCTACCACCCTGAGGGTCTGCCACCTTGCAGCGCAGTGCACTCACGTTTTCAGTGTCTCGTTCATTCACCGTTGGCAAAGGGGTCCTAGTGGACATCTTACTGCGCTTTGATTCCGCACAACGCCAAGGCGAAAACAAAACCGCCCAGCTCTGGGCGGCCGACGAGCAGCGGCCGCGAGCCTCCGGGCCCTGCCCTCCCCTGCCGGAGTCTAGATCTCCGGCCTGGCCCGGGCCGTGCGCCCGCGGGCCCCGGGGCTCATTCTCCCCCAGCGCCGGCGGCCGCGGCGAGGAGCCCGGCGGAAGCGGGCCGGCCGGCTGCCGCAAAGCCTCAGGGCGCCTCGCGGGCCCCTCGCCGCTCGCAGCCGCAGCGCCGCGGAGCTCGGCCCCGGGGGTTCGACACAGCGCGGCCGGCAGCCCCTGAAGAGGCGGCGGCGCAGGAGGATGGAGCGGAGATGAAGCGCAAGACAGGCCGCCGCGGCTTGCAGGCGCCGACCATGGAGGGGGCCGCGGAGGAGGCGCCCACGCCCGGCTGCTTTCCCTTCTCCCGCTCGCTTTCCGCCCAGCCTCGCCCTGCCTGCTGCCACCGCCGCTCCCCGGCACCTCAAGAGCCTCACAGACCCAAGATGGCCGCGCCTCGGCTTCCTCCGCTGCCTCCGGCTGCCGGAAGTGACGCCGCTGCCGCCTGGAGTTCCGCCAATCAGCGCGTTCGAAGCAAGCTGCCGGCTGCTGTTGCTAGGGGCGACTCGTCCTGTTGGTTCGGAGTGGGTGGTGCCGTTGCGAAGGACTGGCTTGGTCTCCTCCAGCTGGAGCGGGCGGTGAGTTCCAATGGTCCAGATCGCCTGGGCATCCCTGACCCTTCCGGGCCGCTGCCCTAGTGGGAGTCTTGCGCCCGACTGCTGGGCTGGCATTTACACAGTACAGATCTAGGCTGGCTGGATTACACTACACTGTTTGCAAAAGTTGAGTTCGCTTTCCTCGGGCCGCGATGCAAAGGATGAAGCTACCCCGAGCGAAGCGGCAGTTGCAGGTCTCAGTGGAGTGGGGAAGGAGGCAGGCTCCTGCTTCATAACTGAACCATTCATCGAGCATCCAGCCAGTGAACTTTCTTGCCACTGGGTGTTGGACCCGACCGAATACCCATTCGAATGAAAGTAACAAAGGTGGCACAAAAGGGATGGGAAGAGGGGTTGGATGAGAACACATAGACGCCCCCCCCCCCCCCGGGATCAATTCCTAAATGCTGGCAGGGGCTTATATAATCAATATTTCTCTCTGTCTCTTCCTCTTCCCCCTTTGGCCCTCTCACACTCCCTACCCCTCACATTTTCCCTCTCGCCTTTTCTCCTTCCTCCTGTCTCTCCCTTCCCTCAAGCTCCCCAAACGCCCCTCTCTTCTTCAGCCTCCTGCATAGTGGCATTACTGTAGGCTTGGGCCAGGCTGAGTGACCTGCAGCTGGAACTCTAAGTGCTCTGCCTTTTCTGCCTCCTCACAGTGTTACCGTGCCTTTCTTGTCCTCTGAGGATCGTCCACTGGTACAGGAAAGGTCTGTGTGAGCCGGGGTAATGCAAACTGCTCCTCCTAGTCCACCTTGTACTGGTTCTCCATTAAGCCTCAGGGTGCAGACGACATGTGATGTGAAGTCTGGATAAGTAAGTTGCTTAACCAAATCAACTATGTTGTCGGTTAAGAGGAAACTGAACCCCATTCCTACAGCTTTGGACATTTCCTGCTTTGTGAAGCATAGATCTTTAAACATGAGCATCACTTCCAGAGAGGCCAGAAGGTCCCAATACGAATCAACACAGGTCTAAGATACATTAGGAACTCCTGTCTCACTCTCCTAGGGGTGTGCTCAAGGGACCAGATGGCCCTATTTAAAATGTTGTTCTCTTTCTCCCTTTTTGGTCGAGGAGAGATCCACAGTGGAATTCCTCCCAGCCAAGTGTTTGCCCCACACAGTTCAACTGACAGGTAGGTTGTGAAAATGGGAAGTGCACTCGGGAGCTGGGGGCCTAGGCAGAGGAACAATTGCAGGAGGCATGCTTACTCTGGAAGGATATTGATGGCTGAAGAGGCAGAAACAGAAGGATCCCTGGGGCCTGTTGGGCAGCCAGCTTAGCCTAAAGCCAAGGCATGCTGGTGAGAAACAGCAGGACGGATCATTGGAACACCAACAGCAGGTGAAGATGAGAAGCCAAACTAAAGATGCACGAGCAGGCAGACCTAGACAGAGCATGGTTCCAGCTTCCCCTCAACCCTGCTGAATTCTGGTGATTCAACGCTGGCTCCAGGTGAACTGGGGACCTCCCAAAAAGTTGTCAGTCACAGGCTGGAGCTTTGAAAAGGCCTGTGGAAACTTCAGAACATTTCACATTGGCCATGAGAGAAATAACTGGCCATGAGGCTTCCTCATTGATGCTACACATTAAACTGTGAGCCATGGAATGCCAAAGGTTAGGAGTAAAGATGACAGCACTTACCCTCAAGATGTTTTCTACTTTTCCTAAGCTTTAGAATTGAAGACACTGAAGTGTAAAATCACTATAAAGACCTGTAAATGGTAGGCATGTTTGTGACACGTGAAAAGGGAAGGGGGACTAGGAGGGCATGAGGGAGAGGAGGCAAGCTTTGTTTTGTCTGGAGGAACTTGTATGGTCCTAAATTTTGTGCATCTGTGACCTATCTGGAAGGAAGGGAGAAATTATACCTTAAAACTGTTGTTTTCATAATTCTTGTTCCCTGTGTGATTCTTCTACCCTTTATTTTATTTTATTTTTTAGATAGTCTTTCTGCATAGCTCAGGCTGGCCTCTAATTCCTGTCTTGCCTCAACTTTCCTAATGCAGAAATTGCAAATGAACACCATCATGCCCAGTTCGTTTTCTTGTCCTCCTGTTTAAATAGTTCATAGCTTGAGTATCATAACAACAAACCCATTGCAATTCAGAAATGCACCTAGGACTGGGGAAATGGCTCAGTGGTTACGGCTCTTGGTGCTCAAGCAGAAGGATTAGAGCTCCTGAAATCCACATAAGCCCCAGGTGGGCAAAGCAGCTCCAGGTCATTGTTTTCCAGTGCTTGAAGAACAGTAGATCTCACTGGCCTTGAACTTCCCAGCAGCTAGGCTAAACTAGCTACCCAATAGGGCCCAGAGATCTTTGTGTTTCTGCCCTTTAGCCCTAGGATTACAAGCATATACACCAACAACCTGTCTTATTTACCTGGGTCCAGAGGATGAGAGTCAAGGCCCTGTAGCTAGCATGGCTAGCACTTCACATTCTGAGCTGTCTCCCCCAGTGCTTGGGTGCAGAGGCAGGAGGGTCCCTTCGAGTTGGAGGCCAACCTAGTGTAGAGAGTTCCAGAACAGCCAAGATGACATAGTGAGACACTGTCTCAAAAGAAGGGGAGAGGGGTGCTGGAGAGAGGGCTCAGCAGTAGCAAGCACCTGCTGCTCTTGCAGAGGACCTGTGTTCCAGCCCCTCACTGGAACAACCTTCTGGAGCCCAGTGCCCTCTTCTGGCCACCTGTGGTCACCTCTTCATGCCCACATACACACACACACAGAGCTGAAACACAGTTAAAATAAATTTTAAATGTTACTTAGTTTTTACTTAGGGTTTCTCTGTGTAGCCTTGGCTGTCTTGGAACTCATCTGTAGACCAGGCTGGCCTCCAACTCAGAAAGATCCACCTGCACCAGCCTCCAGAGTGCTGGGACTCACTGAGTGTTTCCTCACTGCTCAGCAAAGTAATCTTTTTAAATGACATACTGGAAGAATCTAACAATATCTAGTAACATTAGTAGCAGCAGCAAGTTACACATACCACAATTCAATCCAAAATATTCGCCTGGACATAGGCTGTCAAGGTAGCTCATGGGAGAAGGGTGCTGGCCACCAAGCCTGTCAACCCGAGTTCAATCCCGGGAAACCCAGTGGAGGAGACAGATGACTCCTGAAGGTGTCCTCTGACTCACACACTCGCCTCGCCGCTTGTATGTGAATGTACACACATAAAATGAATAAAGACACGTAATTTAAATTTTATTTTGTTTGTTTGTTTGTTTTCAGATAGTGTCTTACTGTGTAGCCCTGCCTGGCCTAGAACTTGCTATGTAGACCAGGCTGGCCTCAGATTGAGAGATCAGCCTGCCTCTGCCTCCCTGTTAAAGGTGTTCACTGGAATTCCTGGCTGAATTTTTTTTTTTTTTTTCATTTTTAAGGGAGCTGGAAAGATGGCACATTGGTTAAATGATGTGCTGCTCTTACCAGGACCAGAGTTAGGTTCTCAGCCTGATAACTACCTGGAGCTCTCAGGCACTAAAGCCACTTCAGGCACATGCAGACCCACACATACACATGCACAGACATCCATCTGTCCTCATAACTTAAAGTCAAAATGAACCTTTCAAAGAATCTTAAAGTGGGGGATGGAGAGATGGCTCAGCAGTTAAGACACTGTCTGTTCTTCCAAAGGTCCTGAGTTCAATTTCCAGCAACCACATGGCACCTCACAACCATCTGTACTGGGATCTGATGCCCTCTTCATGCAGGTGTCCATGCAGATAGAGCACTCAGATACATTAAAAAAAAAAAAAAAAAAAAAAAAAAAAAGAGTCTTAAAGTAACATTTGGACAGGTGGTGGTGGTACACACTTTTAATCCCAGCACTAGATACTCTGAGTTCAAGGCCAGCCTGGTCTACAAAGTGAGTTCCAGATCAACCAGTACTACACAGAGAAACCCTGCCTTGGAAACACAAAAATAGATAGATAGATAGATAGATAGATAGATAGATAGATAGATAGATAGATAGATAGATAGACAGACAGATAGATGAAAGGCTTGAAATGTGCTGAGGGAACATGAATAAAGACATTCACAAACAACGCTCCAGGTCCCCATAGAAAAAAAGCTAGAAATGCGATAAATGTCCATTATCAATATGAACAGAGAATGTGGTATGTTTATGCCAAAACTAATATGTAACAGAGAGACAAAGGTTAACTCTAGCCTTGCCCAGTAAAGGGACTGAATCTCAGGAACATAAGCTGGAGCTGGTAAGTTGGTTCAGTGGGTGAAGACACATGCTGCCAAACTTGAAGACATGAGTTCAGTTCCTGGATCTACCTAGTGAAAGAAGAGAGCTGACTCCTGCAAACTGTCCTCTGACTTCTGTACAGTCTAATATTTGCTGCCAGCATGGAAAAGGGGAGCATGGTGAAGGCATAAAATCCTCAGTGCTCTATCTTAAGTCTCTGACCTCACATGGACAATTCCCGAGCAAGGAAGGCAGGACGAGAGGAACCAGAGAATTTGTTAGGACAGATTCCGTTCCTGAGGCTAGAATGCCTTCTCTCCTGTGGTATGACCTCAGACATGAGCTGTCTAGGGCTGGCCCTCTGAGTCAGCTCTGAGTTCCACCTACACGCCTTCCCCAGGGGTGTCAGGACTCAAAGCTTTCTTTCAGAATGAGGCCAGGAGAACCAAGGATGTAATGTGACCAAGTACAGATGAATAATTGGTGTGTTTGAATATTAATAGGAAGTAGTTTTTGTAGCCAAAGAAATCAAAAACAGACTCTCTTAAAACAAACTCTAATTTAGA